GTTTTCCCTGCAAATAATTTCAGATTGCTGTCACTTTCCACTCCAACTTTTCTGTCTGATTTCCCCTCACGTCAGGTGTCGTTGGAGTGGCGGTGACCATCTTCGACATGAAGCTAAGAGGAAGTTGAGTTGGGAGTAATTTAATTTGGGTTTAGTGAGATATCTTTATGTGGCTTGCAACCAGTTTCCCGTAAGGATATTGCCAGCTGTCCCAAGGAAAAGCTTCCAGGAAAAGTCCACCTGCGCCTTGCGCCTACTCACCCAGCATCGTGACATGGAAGTGTCACAGAACTTGTGCTCTGGGGGTCATCCCCCATTCTAGTTGGGAAGAAAGCAGCCCCCACCGCATCCAAAGTCTTTGACCACTTTTTAACTTTGTAATAGACTTTTTTCCTTTCAGATTTTCTCTTAAGTAGAGCATGCGACAACTTAGAATTTTCTTTAGAGAATCAAAGTGTAATGTTTCCCATTAGAAAGCTGCTCAAGCTTTGTAATGTGCGTACATCAACATTAAATTTTTCACAGGCTGGGAAGAGAAACCCGAACAAAGAGATGTAAAAAAGTTTATTCAAAGCATTGATATAGCTCAATTGCACCACTTAACTTGTAATATGGAAAGACAGTTTGGGACATTTTAATAAAACAAATGAGAAGTTACAGACTGCTCTTTGGGACATACTTGAGGAGTTCCTTCTTTTATTATCTGCATTTATTTATAAAAGAAGCAAGAGAAAACTTAGATAATAATTAATGGAATATGAAACAAAAAAGATAAAGATTGGCCCTGACATCAAGAGAAATCACTCTGACATTAAGAAGTGAATTGCAACATTTTTTTTTCAAATTATACCAAAAATTGTAACTCTTTAAGAAGAAAAGAGAAATTTTGAATAGAAGTAATCAATAGGCTTCTGGCTTGTTCGATTATCCAGTTAATGAAGAGGAGTGAATCATATGTACACATTGGAAGAAGATTTAAATTTCCAGTAAGTTTGAGACAAAATACTGACATTGATGAAGATAACGTGAAACTTCATAATACATTGCAAACTGGTTAATGAGTGCCATCAATTCAAGGGATATTTAAGTTTAGTCACTGTACAAGAAAACTTGAAACCCCCGAAACCTTACAATTTACATATAAAATAGATTTGGTAAAAATTTTCCCTAATTTGACAATAATTCTAAAAAGTGTACATCATATTACTACCAATATGTAAGAAATTTTCCCAATGATCAACAATAAAAAACAATTTTTGAACAACCATGGTGAAGAACAGACTGAATTCTTCCTATTATTTTTACAGAAGATGGTATTTTAAATCATAATGTGAAGAGGTACTCAGAGTATGAAGTCAAAAAATGCAGAAGAGCAAGGATTACAGAAGAGTCAGACAGCAACTAATAAGAATTGTTATTTAATTAAAAAATTTGTGGCATTTATAAGTATCAGAATTTTTCAATTGTTGTGATTTATTTTCTCATTTTAAGTATTTACTTTCACATCAGATTTCTACTCTTTTCCTTAAAGAAAGACCCCAAATTGTAGGCTTCAAGCTCTCCCCTTTGGTTTCAGTGATTGATCTGAAAGATGCTGTGAGATAAATATACTTCTGTTTTTTCCCCCAGACAAGGCAGGCACAGGCTTTACCTCTGCTGATTGGGCCATAGATGAGAATGTTTGCGTCTCTTGGGATCCTCTCTCTGGGTCAAGTGAGCTGGCAGAATACCTCCAACAGTGTCATCAGCAGCCTCGGGCAAGAGCTTTTACCTCAATAAACAGTGCTGTGAAATATAACCCAACGTCTTATCATGTTAGCATAGTGTTTTCTGTACAGTCTGACCAGGGGTTAGGAAATGCATATTTGCAACATTGAGAAATGGTGTTTCAAATTTCATGAATCTGGGTGATCCTTTGACAACAGTTTTATTGAAAGGTTTGTGGCCCCTGGAGGCAAAGGTTATTCTTTAGAAAAGCAAGTGAATGACAGGGAGCCCGATAAATAAGAAGAGAGATCTCCTTCTCCATTAAATGGGCAATGGACACGTCAGAGTAGAGATGCCACCTTCCACCCACAAGCTGCATGGTCCCTAGAATTAACTTTTCCGGAGTCAGCAAGTCTGCTTGGGAAAGTGGTTGCTAACAGTCATAAAAAAAAAAAATCCTTAATATTTACGGCATGTCTGGAATTCTTGCCACTGTTAGAGGAGGTCATTAACAGGATGTGATGAACGGTTGACTCACGAGCTGGACCCAGGGAATATGGAGATTCCTTACATCCTCCTCCGTCCTTGGAATGCACATTTCGCCCACTGTTCTCACTCTAGGAGCCACTTCAAGGATGCAGCCTTGAGAGGATAATGTATTGTTGAGACCATCTGGACTGTATATGTGACCAAATCCCATTAGGGCCTCTATGTAAACTTTTAAGATTCTGGCTGGTGGCTGTGGAGATCTACTCATCTTGTGGCTGCCCAAGACAGCAAGTCTGGTATATAAGTTCCCTTGCTTATTAAAACTGCCACCTACCAATCTAGAGTCATCTGCTCCTTTCTTCGGTCTCTCATTGCCACCTGTGTACAAGGGCCATTTTGAATTGCACCACGGGAACGCACGAGGTTGCTAACCAACAGTCAGGTGATAGGAACATATGGATACCTACATGCTAGTCTGTCTCCCTAAGTAGTTAAGCAACTAATTGGGAAGAGAAGAGATATACATAAGAATACAATTTTAAGTTTAACCTGATGAAATTGCCTTTTCATTATAGGTCAATAATGGTTGTTTCATGTGATTAAATACCAGTAGTTTCATACAATTCAAGATAAATAGATTATTGTTCTTTTTT